ACAGTAAACTCATCTCAACAACACAATTATATGAAGTATATTACCAAAATACATCCCTTCACTTTTTTTTTTCTTTTATCACCTTCGTTTTCGCTTCCCTGCTTCTCAATTGCAAGATTCCCGAAGCTCTCGATCTATAATATGCAAATTAGGATAGGTATTTCGCCGCATCTCGTTTTCTATCAACGGCGTCGGGAAACAGATATTTGATTTGCGGTTTATCCTGCGTTCAAAAGAGCTCTTGGATTCGACGCCAGCACAGATGAAAGGGTTAATTTTGTCCTTATTCTTTTCCTTTTTTTCCCCCATTCTTTTTTTTTACTCCTTTAACTATTTATTCGATTTTTTTTTCTTTCGTCTGGGCTTCACGAGTGGATTCGTTTTCATATTAGAAAACGGGAGCAAGGATTTCTTTTGTTTTGAGGGGAGACTTCTTTAAATTCAACGAGCGCCTCTGATTCTCGTTATGATGAGACCTTGCAAACTCAAAGGTCTTTGATTAAATTTTGTGAATTGATTAACATGGAGTAGAATGAGATATGAAAAGCCAATGGGTGAGAGAGGGAGAGTGGGCGAGAAAGAGGAAGGAGAAAGAGAAGGAGAATCGTGGACAGAAAAAAGAGAAAAAAGGAAGAATGACGAGAGAGGAGGGAAGGGAAAGATGGAAAGTGAGAATAAGAGGAGGAAATAATTGTAGAGATAGAATAGTAACAAATTAGATGTGAGACTAGTATAATGATAGAGATGAAATACGACGAATGTTCAGTAATTCGGTCACACATTTTCATTTCTTTTATTTCAATCTATTACGCTTCATCCCTCTCCCTCTCCCTCCCCTGTCTCCCCATTCTGTCCCTCTCCCTCTCTTTCATCTCTCTCTCTCTCTCTCTCTCTCTCTCTCTCTCTCTCTCTCTCTCTCTCTCTCTCTCTCTCTCTCTCTCTCTCTCTCTCTCTCTCGTCTGTCTGTCTCTCTCTCACTCTCTCTCTCTCTCTCTCTCTCTCTCTCTCTCTCTCTCTCTCTCTCTCTCTCTCTCTCTCTCTCTCTCTCTCTCTCTCTCTCTCTCTCTCTGTCCTCTCTCTCTCTCTCTCTCTCTCTCTCTCTCTCTCCTCTCTCTCTCTCTCTCTCTCTCTCTCTCTCTCTCCTCTCTCTCTCTCTCTCCTTCTCCTCCTTCTCCTTCTCCTTCTCCCTCTCCCTCTCCTTCTCCCTCTCCCTCTCCCTCTCCCTCTCCTCCCTCTCTCTTCTTCTCTCTCTCTCCCTCTCCCTCTCCTTCTCCCTCACCCACTCCTCCCTCTCTCTCTTCCTCTCTCTCTCCCTCTCCCTCTCTCCCTCTCCTCCCTCTCTCTCTTCCTCTCTCTCTCCCTCTCCCTCTCCTTCTCCCTCTCCCTCTCCTCCCTCTCTCTCTTCCTCTCTCTCTCCCTCTCCCTCTCCCTCTCCTCCCTCTCTCTCTTCCTCTCTCTCCCTCTCCCTCTCCATCTCCAAACATCAAGAAAAATTTCAGTAAAAGGCCTATTCCCGCAAACTGGCTCCTGTTAGCAGTTTACTCTGTCATTTTAACAAGTTAAATAGGACGCCAAACGGCAGGTTAGTGGCAGGGGGGGGAGGGGGTGAAGGGCGGTAAAAGAGAGATCATTAAAAAAGACCAAAAAATATATATACATGCACGTCTACTTCGGGTCTTATTTTGTCCATTAAACTCCATCCCCTAGTTATTCTTCTCCTTATTCCCTCCCCTCTCTTCCCTTTCTTTCCCCTTTTCGCCTACTCCCCTTCCTTCTCCCTCCCTCTCCTCCCCTCTCTTCTAATCTCTCTCTTTCTCTCCCCTCTCCGTTCTTCCCTTTCACGCTCCGGCTTTCTCTCCTATCCCCCCTTCTTATCTTCTTTCTCCTCTCTTTCGTCTTCCTCTCCTCCGCTCCCTGCCACTAACGGTCTCTTCCTCACTTCGTTCTGTTATTATTATCATTATCATTATTTCTCTCCCTCTCCTCCCTTCCTCACGTCCTCCCCCATCACTCCCTCTCCCCTCATGTCCACTTTTCCCTCCCTTCCCTCTGTATTTTCTTCCTCTTTATCTTTCCCTCTTCTTCTTCATCTTTTCCATCCTCCTCCTCCCTCCCTCCCTCACTTCCCTTCTCCCTCCCCTTAACTATGCCTCTTTCCTCCGTTCTTCCTTTTCACTCCCCTCCGCTTCCCTAACCCCCCCCCCCCGCTAACCCTCCTTCCCTCCTCTTCCCCTTCTCTTCCTCTTCGTTTTTCCCTCTCCTTCCTTCCTTCCTTCATCCCCTTCCCATTCCTCCCCTTCCTCCTTCCCTCTTCCCATCTTTCCCCTTACCCATTTTCTTGCTCCCTTCTCACTCCCCTCCCCCCTCCTCCCCCCTCCCTCGCTTTCTTCTCTCCCTCCTTTCCTTATGACTCCTTTCATGTCCCGTTCCTTATGGCCTTCACCCCATCCTTCCCTCTCCCCCCCCCCCTCCTCATATCCCTCTTCTTTTCTACTCTTTTCCCCCTCCTTCTCTCCTCCTTCCCTCCCTCCCTTCTTCCCTCCCTCTCTTCTCCTTCCCTCCCTCCCTCTTTCCCTCTCTCCCTCGCTCCCTTCCCTCCTTCCAACTTTCCCCGCACCCATCTTCTTTCCTACGCCCTTTACTTGCCCCTCTCCTTTCCCTCTCCTTCCCTCCCTACCCCTACCCCTCCTACTCCCTCCCCTTACTCCTCTCCTTCCCCCTCCCTCCCTCCCTCCCTCCCACTCCCGTATCCTTTTCCTTTCCTCCTTCCTACCTCCTTCCTTCCCTCCCTTTACCCCCCTCCTCTCCCCTTCCCTCCCTCCCTCCCTCCCTCTTTCCCTCCCTCCTTCCCTCCATCTCTCTCTCTCTCCCTCCCTCCTTTCCTCCCTCCCTCCTTCTTTCCCTCCCTCCCTCCCTCCCTCCCTCCCTCTCTCTCTCTCTCTCTCTCTTTCCCTCCCTCCTTTCCTCCCTCCCCCCCTCTTTCCCTCTCTCCCTCCCTCCCTCCCTCCTCCCCTTCCTTCTTGTGAGACAATGTGCCTCGATTCCCCCCCCCCCCCCCTCCTCCTGTAACGAACTTAAGCAGGGCTAATTTGGGTGCCGTGCGGGGGGGGGAGGGGGGCGGCCTTAACTTTGGGGGAAAGGGGGGGGGGGAGAGGTGCGGTCTTCTCGTCTCTCGATATTGAATTTGTCGCGTAATCTGATATTTTTATTAAAGGAAAAGAGATCAGAGAGCAAGAGCAGAGGGAGGGGGGAGGGAGCGAGGGAGGGAGGGAGGGAGGGAGGGAGGGAGGGAAGGAAGGAAGGAGGGAGGGAGGGAGAGAAAGAGAGAGGGAAGGATGGGGGGAGGAGGGAGGGAGGGAAGGAAGGAGGGAGGGAGGGATGGGGGAAGGAGGGAAGGATTGGGGAAAGAGGGGTAGGGAGAGAGGGAGGGAGAGAAGGAGGGAAGGGTGGGTAGGGACGAGGAAAGAGGGAGGGAGAGAGAAGGAGGGAGAGGAGGGGAGGGGGGAAGAGGGAGGGAGGGGGAGATGGAAGGAAGTATTTAACGTATCCCTTGCATCTCGCTGCTGGACAAGTTGTGTGTCTTGGGGGAAAAAAAGGTGGGGGGAGGGGGAGAAAAGGGTGGGGGAGGGGAAGAGATGTAGATCGATGGGGGGGGAGGGTGATTTTGTTGGATAGTTAAGCAGAAAATTATAAACGTATAGGTAGATAGATAAATGTAGATATAGATAAACAGATAAATATACCTTTAGATAGATAGATATACAGACATATAGATAGATACATGCATTCATATGTACATTTTCATACGTGTGTGTGTTTCTCTAAGTGTATGTGCCCCATATCTGCATACATTCCCCCCCCCCCCCCCATAGCCAAAACATACACAGAAACGCGCAGACTTCTCCGACGCTTTCCACGCACTCGAAAGATATAATCGAGAAATAACGCTGCCCAGTCTGCACGATTCCCCTTATTAACATTCCTTCAACCGCTGCCGAGTCTTGCAACTATCAACTGATGCATGAAAATCGTGCAGAGTTGTCCCTTGCAATGTTTCCGTTATTTGCAGTCCAAGAGAGTCAGAGAAAGGTGCGTGACGAGGAATTAGTGTTCAACTTCGGCTGCGTGTTAGGTCTTGTGTTACTTTGGCGTTCTTTTATTTTCGAGATTTGGTTTTGCCTGTTTTTTTTTTTCTCTCTCTCTCTTTTCTCTGTCTATCTAACTCTCTCTCTCTCTTTTCTCTGTCTATCTAACTCTCTCTCTCTCTCTCTCTCTCTCTCTCTCTCTCTCTCTCTTTCTTTCTCTCTCTCTCTCTCTCTCTCTCTCTCTCTCTCTCTCTCTCTCTCTCTCTCTCTCTCTCTTTCTCTTTCTCTTTCTCTCTCTCTCTCTCTTTCTTTCTTTCTTTCTTTCTCTTTCTCTCTCTCTCTCTCTCTCTCTCTTCTCTCTCTCTCTCTCTCTCTCTCTCTCTCTCTCTCTCTCTCTCTCTCTCTCTCTCTCTCTCTCTTTCTCCGAAGTTATTTGTTTCCTTGTCAATTATTGTTCGTTTTATCTGTTAATTGGCGGAGAAGCAAGCACATGCGAAAAATTACCGACGCCAGTGGCAGACTTATGGGTGGGTTGTCCATGGCCCGAGGACGCGATGGCCAGGTCGGGGAGGGACGAGTTCGGCGGCGAAGATAACGAATCCCTCGTCGGCGCAGCAGATCACGGGACTTGTCTGCTCTCGGATTCAAATTTTGTGCTCGGCTGGTTCATTTCGATTGGAGGCTTGCGTGCGGGGATCTTGACTTCTTTTAATTATTATTTTGATTGTGTTTTTATGTATCGTTTTAATCATTCTTCTATAATGATCGATATGGGTTATTGTACCTTCTAGACCCGATAGCACGTTCATAATCCTTTTGTGTATGTATTTGTGTGTGTTCATACGAGTCCCTTTTTCACCCTTTCCTTCTCCCAATTCATCCGTTATTCACTCCTCCCTCTTCCTCCCTCCACAG